ATGGACCAGTTAGCTTGACATCGGCCAGAGGGAGAAAGTTGGAATGTATTGTTAAAAATGTAAGACACTTCGGCAAAGTCAAGATAATCTGAATGGGCTTGTTAAGGGAAAATTATGTTTAACCAATTTATTTGAATTTAGTCTTTAATTTGGAAATAAATTACCCAAGTATTGCTGAAAACAGATACATTTAGACTTTTAAAAAGTTATCTTTTGAAGAACCTAGTGTTGTTGGCAAGGCTAGTATTTTTTACCATAACTTAATTGTCCTTGCTCTGAGAGGCCTACTGGGCCATTTGAGAGGGCTGTTCAGAGTCAAACCATAGCTGTGGATCTGGAGTCACATGTAGGCCAGACTAAGTAATGACGGCAGATTTCCTTTTGTAAAGGACGTTCATAAACCAGATGAGTTTTAACAACAAACGACAATAGTTACGTGAGCACCATTACGCCAACGTTCAATTTGATATTTTTATTGTATGCACATTCAAACAGTTGCCATAGTGGGACTCAAATTCATGCCCCTGGAATATTGGCCCTAGATTCATATTATCCCAATGACATTGCCACTAGGTCACCACTGTCCCCCCATACCCATTACAACAATTTGAAAGAAACACCAAGTACAGGGAAGGACTTCTGTATGCCAAGACAGTCCTGATTGTTTCAGAGGTGGACAATGGACGGACATGTATGATTGACCAGAATTTGGACATTTGGCACTTAAACTCATATATCATATCGCTCATTTGTGTGGTAGACAGAATGCCTTTATGGCTCAAAGTTAGTGTTGTGTTATTTGTGAACGCCACTTGTGTTGCTCCTGTATATTGGCAGTATGAAACAGTTAGCTTCACCTGTTACTTTAGCTTTTTACAACAAGGCAGAGAGACAGGCCATTCCCAACTAGCCTCTGCTTGAAAAAAAACACAACACAATATGTGCTGCATTTGATGCAAACTACCATTGGTCAGCATTTGCTAAATAAACATGAGTGTGCCATGGATTATATTGATAATCAAATTTAGGATTGTCAGTCGGCCTTACTATGAAAGCTACATACATTAATACGTGGTGCCCTTTACTTCACATGCGGAAAGACTAGGCACATACATTGTGCCTTTTGCAACTAAGAAAAATGCCGATATTCAATCTCTGGTTAATTTCTCAGGGTGTTGCATTAACTATACAGAAACACCCTGCCTGGTTTAAGTTGAAACAAAGCTTGCCAATTAACTGTTAATCATCAACTATTTGGTTCATTATTTATGACAACATCTCACCCAATAAGAGTTCACTTCTCAATCAATCAGCACTCTCATATATTATGAAAAAGTTTGTTTCCCGTTAGCATTAGTATTTCTCGTGAGTTGTTGTGGTGAGCACGAGACAAAAAGCTTCACCAGAATGTATCTTGTTTCAGCAATTCTCAAGGTATTAGAGAGCTTTGAAGATGTAAGATATGCTGTAGATAAAGCAGAACCAGTGGATATACTATACTTAGATTTCCTGAAAATGCTTGGTCAGGTGCAATGTCTGAGGTTATTGTGGAAAATTGTGAAAAGCCCATGAGAAAGGAGGTGACATAATTAGTTGAATTGAAAATTGGCTAGCTTACAGGGAACAGAAAATATGCATACATGGGAATTTTGTTTGGTTTTGCAAGGAGTAATGCGTGGAGAGGCTCAGGAATCAGTATTGGGGCCTGAACTTTTTAAAATGTATATAAATGACTGTTAGAAATTATTGTTGATGAAATTATCGATGTCACAAAGGTACGTAGACAAGTAAGTTGGGAAAAGGACAAAAAGAGGCTACAAACTAATATAAATCAGTTAAGTGAGTAGGCAAAGATCTGTCAAATGGTGTGTAAAATTTGAAAATGACTTTTTTGGCAGGAATAATTAAAAAAAGCTTATTATCCAAAGCTGAACTGTTGGGTGTCTTCGTGCAGAATTGTAAGAGTTTAGTTTTCAGGTACAGTGAATATTTAGGAAGGCTAATCAAATGCTATCATTTATCCTGAGGGGAGTTGAATACTAATGAAGGGCGGTGATGCTTCAATTATGCAGGGCACTAATGAGGACACATCTGGAGTACTGTGGCATTTCCTTATTTAAGGAGATGTGTTGGAATTAGTTTAGAGAAGGTTTACTAAACTAATGCTTGCAATGGGTGGACTGTCTTATGAAGAATGGTTAGATTTTAGGAGATTGGATTTTCAAAAAGTAAGAGGTGAGTTAATTGAAATATCAGATCCTGAGGGGACTTGTCCAGGGAGATGTAGAGAGGATGTTTCCTCTTACAGAAGTATCACGAATGAGAGGTCGATGTTTAAATATCAGGACTAGCTCATTGAAAACAGGAGTGAGGTAGGTTTAGCTGGTAATTATTGCATGGCAAGCAGGCTTGAGGGGCTGAGTGGCCTACTCCTGCTCCTAATGAACATTGTTGCAAAGTTGGGAAGAGTACTTGTGGATTGGGAGGCAGGAAGTTAGAATTTGGTGTTTGTAAAATACTAGGGGGGGAAGCATTGCATGGTCCCTTTAAAAGATCATGTACTTCTTCTGTACTTAAAGATTTAAAATGGATGTCTGTGAGCAACAGCTTGAAAGTTTGCAAGTACACAGAGAGCACCCGAATTGAAATATTTGCATCAAAAGGCCATACATTTAGCAGGCCAAGCAGCAGTATTTTTTTTACCAAGAAAACAAGTTCTTGTATTTAGACAATCAATTTGAACCAGGCACTTAGATGCCAAAAACCTATTAAATTTAATAATGATGGTTTTGACAACATAGGACCAATCCTATTGTAAGAAATATTGATGTGTCATCAAGGGTATTAAAGAACGGAGTGGTTGGATGAAGACCTCAGAGCTAACTTCCATCTGCTAGAGCTAACAGCCTTCAGCTCTCAAGAGAGAATTTTTGGCTTTCACAGCTTCCTCTATGTCTTAGAGAAAGCACCATCTAAATAACAATGGTACCAAGGCACAACTAGTTAATATTCCTGAATATAAGAATTCACAGTGAAAGCATTCCTGACAGAAGAGTCAACGGAGAAGGCACAGAACATTCCAGAAGACACTTAACCTGGCTGTAATTTCTTGAGACTAAATTCTATTTTTTTTAATTGATATGTGAGATTTGTATTTATTGGAACAGCATACCATTAGAATGTGACATAACACAGTTTGGAGCTGGAGGAACACAGCAGGCCAGGCAGCGTTAGAGGAGCAGGAAAGCTGATGTTTCAGATCGGGACCCTTGATTCAGGAATATTTAGTAGTTAGAAGGGATTTAGTTGGTTTGTTAATAGTTTAGTGAATTTGTTCACTTAATAGAGTTAGATAAATATATTGCTACTTAATGATTTTAAAGTGAGTGCAAGGGATTTATTTTATTTAACCACTAGAAGCTGATGAAAGACAGGTTACACCATTTTTCGCAATCTTTTTACAGATTATTAGGTGAGGTACTCCTCTTTGTGTGTTTCAGCTTTAGTTCTCAGAGGGAGGTCAATCTCCACTTTATAAAAGATTGGGGGCTCATGTCCTGGATCTCGACAGATTTGAACAGATTTAGGGTATGAAGAGTCCCAGCAAGTTTAAACAGACTTGGGGACTAATGTTCTAGATCTTTAAATAAAACGTAAGTGAGAAATGGAAAATCTGATAAATTTTGTTTGCTTGTTGTTGGTTAAGTTAAAAGCGGGGAAAAGGCTCTAAAAGTTGCTAAAGAGGTTCTGGGTGTCGAAGATGCTTCCCAAATTTGCCAAAGAAGTTTAGAAAGACAACTAAAGATGACATTTGTAGAATTAGCAAAGAGGCTAAAATTGGGTTTAACTAGAGATCATAAGAAAGCCGAATTATAATTGAATTAGCCAAGCATTTAGGTATATCAGAGAAACGGTCAATTGCAGTGGAGTTAGAAAAAATTAAATTGCAAATGAGACCATTGGAGTTAGAGGACAATTAAAGGGAAAGAAGAGTCCTAGTTGAAGATAAAAAAAGGGAACTGAAACAGTTTGAATTACGGTTAAAAACAGAGGAAAGAAAAAAATGAAAGAATCGCCCTAGTTGAAGAAAGGCAAAAAGAGAGAGAAGAAAGGGAAAGCATGATCGAGTTGGAAAAGATTAAGTTGGAACTTAAAGTAAAAGTACAAGATAGAAGTGATGATGAGCAAACTCATTGTGGCCAACAGCCTGGAAGGGATATGTATAAATATGTCCAAACATTAACAAAATTTGATGAAAACAATGTAGAAGCCATTTTCATTTCCTTTGAGAAATTGGCAAAACAGATGAACTGGCCAGAGATTTGTGTGGATCATAAAGGCCAATTTTAGAGCACATTCGTTTCCAGATTGATAATGGACCCCTGGATACTGGGATATGGTGGTTTTGTCATTCTGCAAGGATGTGATTAAATAGATGATATTAAGAAGCCTCTTGTCTCAGAACACACACCAGTCTTTTGAGCTGACTTGAAATATACCCTCTGCTTTTGTCTCCACATATCCTACCAGACCTGCTGAGTTTCTCCTGCACTTTCTGTGTTCCTTTGTATATTTCAGATTTCCAGAATCTTCAGTATTTTGCTCAGGCTGGTTCTGAAGAAGCGTCACGAGACTGGAAACATTCACTCTGTTTCTCTCTCCACAGATCCTGCCAGACCTGCTGAGTTTCTCCTGCACTTTCTGTGTTCTTTTGTA